CCAGGGCAAGGGGCAGGCTCTGGAGCTCAGTGTGGAAAAGACTTGCCTTGGCTTATCCACGGAGGGAGTGGCAGAAACTGGGTTTAAACCCGGGACCTCCACCTGCCTTCTCTGTGAGATTTGTGTTGCACCTTGCTGGGTACGCAGGTTGCTTGCTGAGGCTGCTATGAAGCTGCCGTAGATCAGGGTGAGCTCCTCAGGAGCAGCCTTGTCGTCCGGAGGGGTCTTCAGATTCCAGTGCAGTGGGTAAGAGGATGCCGGGGCGCCACTCTGCGTGGAAATGAGAGCGCAGGAGGCCTGACTCTCGTGCTGTCTGACTCTGGCAGAGGAGTGAGCTCCGTGGTGCGCCGTTGCGTTCATCGGGCTACTGGCCAGGAGTTTGCGGTGAAGATCATGGAGGTGACAGCTGAGCGACTGAGCCCCGAACAGCTAGAGGAGGTGCGAGAAGCCACGCGGCGAGAGACGCACATCCTTCGCCAGGTCGCCGGCCACCCCCACATCAGTGAGGCTGCCTTCCCCGCTCCTGTTAGCTGCCAGCCACCTCCTGCTGGCCCTGCCCATAGCCCAGTTCCCCTAACACTGCCTCCATGCCTCTGCTCCCTTCGTCACGGCTCTGCTCCACCTCAAAGTGTGGCCAGCCTTTGGGTCCCTACTGCCTCCTTTTGGTTCTCCTTCCTTCCCAGTAACAGCCCACTGCCACCTCGGGGTGGAAAGCCCCTTTAACATGCATCCGCTCCTTTCCATCTCCGTATTTCTGCCTTTCTGCCTCTTTCCCAGTCACTCTCATCGATTCCTACGAGTCTTCTAGCTTCATGTTCCTGGTGTTTGATCTGTGAGTATCTCCCCTGCCCTGATCTCAGAAGCCTCCTCCTCCCCTCCACGCATGGCCCCAGCCTGCCAGCAGAGTGGGCTAAGACTACCCTGCTCGCACCTTCCTGTGCTCCAGCCCGGGCCTGCCTGCTCACCCATGGCTTTGGCCTCTCTCCCTGGGTGCCCTGATTGGGCGCCCTGATTGGGCAAGTTCTTCCAGAGGGTTAATGACCAGCCAATTAAAAAGGGTCTTCATGACCCAAGGGGCCACTGTCCCAGTCCCCCATGGTCATGGTCGTAAGGTTAGCAGGGAAGAAAACTCTATTTTAAGAACTCTTGCTCACCTGTCTCTCGCCGTTTAACACCTTTCCACCTTACGTGGTATTTGTCTCTGCCCATCAGTTCGTTTTCTGGGCAGTCTGACTCCGAGTGTGAGATGTTAGACGATATAATGTAAACCAGTGCAAAGGTACCTCAAAAGAGAATGGTTTAAATAGCAAATATTTTTTTTTTAATATTTTTATTTCTAGGAGAGAGAGAGAGAGAGACAGCGTGAGCAGGGGAGGGTCAGAGAGAGGGAGATACAGACTCTGAAATAGGCTCCAGGCTCTGAGCTGGCAGTCAGCACAGAGCCCGACGCTGGGCCCGAACCCACGAACCGCGAGATCATGACCTAAGCAAAAGTTGGACGCTTAACCGACTGAGCCACCCAGGCGCCCCTAAATAGCAAATATATTTAAGAGAGTCCCTTGGAAAAAATTCACAAGGTCTTCATACAGAAACGACCCTCTGTAAAAGTTGGGGGTGGGGTAGGTAGGAAGTGTCTGTTTATTTCATCACACAAATTTGCAAAACAACAATATGATTTCATATCCCAAAACAACAAAACAACACCTGATTTCAAAGACTGATGCAGAGTTGCAGTTAATAACCTCAACTTTTAAAGACAAAATAAAATAAGCAAAATTCAAAATAAAGTCCTATTCAACTTTTTGCTACTGTTAACTGAAATTTTGGTCCGTGGTATAAACAGATTCACTTTAAAAGGTCTTCTTTGAGTGTACTCTCAGAGAGCAAGGACTTCCTGTAAATTATTGTTGCAAGAAGGTACTTATTCTTGCTAAAATAGCCCTCTCATGGCACAGTGCATATATTTCAACTACCACCCACCCTGGGCCAAGCCGCCCCTGGCACCCACTTCACTCTTGGAGCACTCTGTCTCAGGACCCTTCGTTTGTCTAAGAGGAATTGCTCTTTACTGGCCTCTTCCATGGTATTTTCTGTGAGCCACTGGCTTGTTTTTCTCAGCTCCCTTGTAAGGTACACCTACCTCCCAACCCCTCCTATCCCTAGGATGCGGAAGGGAGAGCTGTTTGACTATCTCACAGAGAAGGTGGCCCTCTCAGAAAAGGAAACCAGGTAATGGCTGAGCCTGCAGCCCGTGGGGTGAGCAGGGGATGGGGCAGGGTGGGGCAGGAAGAAGCAGAGGAGGAGACTGCACCTCCCTCAGGTCCATCATGAGGTCTCTGCTGGAAGCAGTGAGCTTTCTCCATGCCAACAACATTGTGCACCGAGACCTGAAGCCCGAGAATATCCTTCTAGATGACAATATGCAGATCCGACTTTCAGATTTTGGGTTCTCCTGCCACTTGGAACCTGGCGAGAAGCTTCGAGGTGAGGGGTCCTGGTGCTCTAAGAGGCTTGGGAGGGAAGGAGACCCAGGCCTGAGGCTGGTTAGCTGGGTCTGATAATTGAGTGTCTGGGTACTAAGCAAAGGGGACAAGTCAGTGAGCATTTGCCAAGTACCCTCTGGGTGCAAAGCCTTGTGTGTATCTCAGAGTGGGCTTCCTGATCTAGGGGGGGGATGGATGGAGACTGGTGGACAGATAGTGGCACACAGCAGGCAAGGGACCTTGCAGGGGAAGCCAGGAGGGAGGAGCATCTGATTCAGCTGGAAAGACCCACAGAAGAGGGACTCCAGTCTGACAGAGCTCATTTCTTAACCTATGGACTTACACGTTTTGTGTCATAGATGCTATGCTTTGTTTCCCTTTGGACTTCCATATACACTTTTCCCCATTCTGGAATCATCTTTGCCTCTGCCCCACACCACCCTCGCCCTTTTCACTTTAAAGCTCCAGGTCAGGTTTCCTCCTTTGCTTTCTGTTCTTGTATCTTCTCCCTTTGTGACACCCATCTTACTCTATTATTTGTTTTCTGGTAGACAGCTTGGTAAGGGCACATCTAATTCACCAGTGTCTAATATGTTGCTTGTTACCCAGTAAGCATTCTTAAATCCTTTTCATAGGAATGAATTTCCCAGAAGAGTCATTTTCAAATTGGACCTAAGATTTCCTGAAAGTATGCCATAGAACATAGTTTGGCAATTGCTGGGATGGAAGAATTGGTGCCTGAAGTGGTAGAACCAGCTAAAAATAATAGGATCGGATCAAGTCATGGAGGGCTGTGCTGTAGGAGTCTAAACATGAGCCCAAGGCCACAATGGGGAGCCAGGGAAGAGTATTAAGCAAGGGACTTACTCAGGGTATGCCCTAAGAAATCCTATATTCCCACTCATTCTCCTTGGTTTGAGTGGTGATTCCGTTACACAGAATAGAGATTACGGAGGAGAAGTCAATTTGGGCAGAAAGGAACATAAAAAAAGATTGAAGTTTTGTTTTCCATGTATATTATGCATGTAAAAATGTGGCACAAAGTTGTATAAGGAGCAGATAGTAAATTATATGGTTGGGTAGGACCTTGAAGTCAATCCAAAAATCAGGTTTTCCCCAGGAAGGCCGCCTGGAACCTTGGTGGGTATTTGGGTTTGCAGCAAGGATAGGGGCTGGTACTGTCCTCAATGGAGGGCAGGCGGGAGCAGAACGGGAACACTTATGGTCCTGGCAGCGTTGAGGCTCCAGTGAAGGTCTGGAGTTAGGAGCCCTTAAAGGGGCTGGTGGCATCCATCAATCTCAGCCCTCTCTCCCCAGAGTTGTGTGGGACCCCAGGGTACCTAGCACCAGAGATCCTTAAATGCTCCATGGATGAAACCCACCCTGGCTATGGCAAGGAGGTCGACCTGTGAGTTTCTGGTCTCCCCACTTCTTTCCTCCTTTTGTGTCTTGTCCTTCAACACATTTGCCTGTCACCTAGTCCTGCCTGACTCTGGTCTCTTTCCCAGCTGGGCCTGTGGCGTGATTTTGTTTACACTCCTGGCTGGCTCGCCACCATTCTGGCACCGGCGCCAGATCCTGATGTTACGCATGATCATGGAGGGCCAGTACCAGTTTAGTTCCCCCGAGTGGGATGACCGTTCCAACACCGTCAAAGACCTGGTGAGCTGGGGCCTTGAGAGGGAGAGGAGGGAGGCCCAAGAGCTGCCCCTCATGCTCTGGGGTTTCCCCTAGATCTCAAAGCTGCTACAGGTAGATCCTGAGGAGCGCCTGACAGCTGAGCAAGCCCTCCAGCACCCCTTCTTTGAGCGCTGTGAAGGCAGCCAACCCTGGAACCTCACCCCCCGCCAGCGGTTCCGGGTAAGCCTGAGAGTGTCAGTGTTTGGGCTTGTCCCTCTGTCCCATGCTCTTTCTCCTGTGGTGGATGCTCCACTGGAGCTCACACTACCCCCTCCTTCCCAGGTGGCAGTGTGGACAGTGCTGGCTGCCGGACGAGTGGCCTTAAGCACCCAGCGTGTCCGGCCACTGACCAAGAGTGCACTATTGAGGGACCCTTATGCGCTGCGGCCGGTGCGGCGCCTCATCGACAACTGTGCCTTCCGGCTCTATGGGCACTGGGTGAAGAAGGGTGAGCAACAGAACCGAGCAGCCCTCTTCCAGCACCAGCCCCCTGGGCCTTTTCCCATCATGGGCCCTGAAGAAGAGGGGGACTCAGCTGCCATCACCGAGGATGACGCCATGTTGGCACTGGGCTAGCACCTCGGCCCAGAAAGCAGGACTCTCCCGGAAGAGGATACTTTTTATCATTCCAGCCCTTATGGGCTCTGGCCTCAGGCCCCCCTGCCTGGCCGTGACCACCACTGACCATACGACCATAAAGACCAGCCCTGTACACCTGTCCCCACCAGCCAGGGCTTTGGGATCAGAGCTGAGGTGGAAGGGCGCTGCTGCTCGCAACACCATACCTGGCCTTGTCAATGCTGCCTGTGCTGCACCTTCAATAAAATCTGCTGCACGCCCAACAGAGCCAGTGCCCTGTGTCTGCTGTCTGGCCTTAGCAGGGGAGCCCAGAAGGTGCTCAGGAGGGGTGGGGGGCAGGGATGGGGCTGCTCTGCCCCAGGCCTTTATTGGGGAAAATGCTGGGGGGTCACTTGGTCTTGTTCTTGCCTTTACCAGGAGGTAGCTGGAAGGGCCGCTCTAGGATGTTCAACTTGCTGCTGAGCCTTTCCTCACTGGCCTTGAGCTGCTCCTCCATCAGCTGTTGGAGCTGCCCCAGCTCCTTGCTCATCTGGGTCTTGATGTAGGCTCGCAGGATGGAGACCTGGCCTGCAGGGGCAGGGAAGAAGGGGCAGGTCAGCAGAGAGGCCATGGGGCTGAAGGATTGCCCCTGGCTGGGCAAACACAACCTCCAAGGTGCACCTGGGGCTACACAGGTGGCAGTCAGGAAAGGTTTTAGTTCAGGAAAGGTCAGCTAGCCCTTGTGTGGAGAGAGGCCGGTGGACCAGTCATGCTGGACTCTGGATTGCTGATGAGCAGATAAAGTGACCTTACGCAGGTGATCTAATCTTTGCGTGTCTCCGTTTCCTCCTGTGTACAGTGTAGATAGTGTTAGTGCCTAGGACTGGGGGAGGATTAAGCGTGAGATGCTTAACACAGGGGCTGCCTGGCTCCCTAGTATAGCTAAATGTGTGCTGGCTGTTACTGTCATTGGTTCTATAACTGTCCTTTTCTGGAGCTCTTGCCCCCACCCCCAGCAGCTGCACTTTTATTACCCGGTTTGTGCATAAGGAATCACTTGGAGAAAGGACACTGTGCATAAAACAGACCTGAAGTCCTGATGTGGTCTAAACCCTTCATTTTATACTTGCTCCAAGTCACAGGGGACCCTAACCCTTCCAGCTCCTTACTTGGCTCTTGCTCTGGCTGGACCACTGTTTTCGGTTCTTCCTCCTGTGGGGTGACTGCCTGCTCTTCCACCTCCTCGCCTTCTTTCTCTGGAAGCCAGGAGCAGGAAGAGGCTTCAGCCCCAGCCCCAGCCCTGACCCCAACCCCAGCCCCAGCCCCAGCCTTCTCCCTTACCTGTCTCATCCTCTGGCCAGAGCTTGGGTGGCTGTAGCCCCATGTAAGTCAAAGATAGATCCAGCCGCACCTGGGAAGAGGGAGGAGGCGGGAGGCTGAGAGGAGGGCATCTGCACTGAGCGAAAGGGAGAGATGAGGGGTGGCCTCTGTACCTGGGGTGTGAAGACATATTTGTAGAGCTTGAAGTGGCGGAAGTAGGTGTTGACCACATAATCTGCCAGCGCCAGCAGCTGTTCCTCCCTAAAGAGGCTGATACTGAAGGGGGGCCTCTGTGGGGGTGATTGGGAGTTAGAGAACTGACCACCCCCAGGAACCCTGACCTTTTATCCAAGTCTCCGGCAGTCCAGAAGCAGGGAGAGCCCCTTGCAGCCTTCAGAGGGAGATGAGGGTGATGAGTGTGAGAGAGGGCAGGAAACTGAATATCCCATTCCCGAGGAACTGACCCTGACTCCATGGCAAAAAAGAACACTGGTGAAGTAGCGGTAACATTCCTCCACGTTGCCCAAGGGAGTTGCTGGGAGGGAAAGTAAGATGTGACCGTGAGTCCCCTCCCTGATCATCATTCATTTCACTCACTTGCCAGCTACTTATTGAGCATCAGCCTTAGAAATGGGCAGATCTAGGTTTAAGTCCTGGCTTATTTCATTAATTCACTCAACAAATACCGAGTACCCCATTCACTGTTCTAGGGCACTGAACAAGACAAACAAGGTCCTGCCCACAAGGGACATACAATAAAAGAAGAAATAGGTCATTTCAGCTCTCATTAAACATTCTGCAGACAATCAGTTCTAGGAATAAAGGGGATGGAGGAGGAGCTATTTTATTGCGTGCTGTGTGTGTATTTACGTATATTACAAACAATATTTCTCAGTACAGTCTCATGAAGTTGGTGCTGTATTTTGCGGAAATGGAGGGGTTCAAAGCTGAAACAACATGTGTGTGATAAGACTGCGTGTAATGACCAAACAAACATTCCAAGTGGTCAGCCACTATTGCTTCCCTTGGTCACTGGTGCCATCCCAGCCTCCTCCGTCCCCTGGGCTCAAAGCCTTCGGTAGCCTGCTCCTCTCACCAACACAGGCCTTGTGAAGATCTTGGAGCAGGGCACAAGCTGTCGACGTCTGTTCCAGTGAGAAGCCCTGCTGGCGGCAGAAGATGAGTGCATGGGAGAAGAGGTCCAGGGTGATGGCATCCCGCAGGCTCTGCTCAGGACAGCCTAGCCCCAACAGCTCAGCTAGCACCCTTAGGGGAGAGAGAGGAAGGAAGGAGTGAGCGAGCCTCCTTTCGTCACCCCACACTGGTACACCACATGCTCTGGAGCTGGGCATTCTTCCTGGCCTCCCAGCCCAGCCCCCTCAATCTTCCCCAGGAGACAGCTTCTCCGCCCTTCCCTCATACCCCCCATACTCCCTCATCTCCTCAGTGTTGGTGGTCTTCTCCAGCCTGTGCATGGAATGGAGGTCCAGGTACTTCCTGTCATAAGAAAAAAGGTGAAAAGGCGGTGGCCATCATGCATTAGTCTCCTGGCAGGGCTATGATGGCTAGAGCATTGAACTGGGACCAGGAGACCTGAGTCTGAGGATTAGCCCTTCTACTACCCTCTCTGGGTAAGTCACTCCCCTCTCTGGGTCCAGCTTTCTCCATCTTCAAATAAAGGATATGGCTTAAATGAATTCTTATGGTCCTCTTCATTTATAAAGCCGAGAATTAGGAAGCTTGAGCTCTTGTCTCTGCCACTCCTCATGTGGCTTCAGTGTCCCCATTTATACAGTGCTCCAGAGCAGTTGATATCCCATTTAGATCCTTAGTCTGGCTCCCTTCTTCCCACCCTCCTTCTTTGGACTGGGGAGGCAGGAATGCTGGAGATCTAGTCATCTTGGACAATTGCAGTTTCCTCATCTCTACAATGGGGAATGCTCTAGCTGTTTGACAGAACTTTTGGGGAGGAATAATGCAAATGTAAAGTATAACTCTTCCCCAAGACTCTTCACACTCACCACATGCAGATCCGAGGCTGGGGCAGCGGCGGCTGCGGAGAGAAAGCGGATTGGACCGGCAGAGCTGTGTCATCCCTGGCCCCAGGCCGTGACCCGTCCCCAATCTCCAGCGGACCTCAGAACCCGCTAACTTGCCTTCTCATCTTAAAGATTATGTACGAGCAACGCCGGCAGGTCAGGCTTCGATAGGCCCTAAGTACTACTCATGAGCATTTAACAGTGGAGTTACACACCCCTGCCTCTTCACCAAAGCACCCAGGGAACGTCTTGAAAGTTAGTAAACATAACAACAGGTGGCACCCTGCCGGGGAGCCCTTTTTACAAACATTCACGAGCGGACCACTCTGTCCCGCTCTCACCGGGAACAAGTTGGCTGCAGGATCTGCATCCGCTTCTACCGAGGCCGCGGTCCCGGACTCCGTCCGCACACCTGTTACCATCCGCACGACGGACGCATTCACTGAAGTGAGGTCCCTCTCTGGTTCCTGCTGCAGTGCGGAGGGCTGTTTAAGCTCCGACTGCATCTTCGGTCCCAAGAATTGGCTGGACTTTTGACGAATCATCTCGTTGTTCCTCCTTGCCGCGGGGTCTCCACTGGCTCTGTCGCGCCCCAGGTCCTGTGAAAGCGGGTTCTGGGGCAGCGACGGCCAAGGCCTGGCGCTCTAGCGACGCCGCAGCCAATCTACACTGAAGAGGTGTCGGGTGCAGCCAATCCGCAGGGGGCGTCTCCCTCCGTTTCAACGGCGACCGTTGCTAAGGGAGCTCGTGGAGGGAGGGAGCAAGTGGAGGGCTCTCGCCAATCAGTAAGAAGATAATACGCATGCGCAATAAGTTTCAAGCCCCGCCCCCGTGCCCTCCCTCCAAAGTGCCTGGCCTGAGGTAGGCGATGCCCTTAAGGCTAGCGAATGTAAGTGCGGTGTCAGTTGCCACGGGAACTGTTTACTGGCCAATCACCGAGAGAGAGAGGAGGTGTTCAGAAAGAAACCAAACGGGACAGAAGAGGCGGGACAAAACGCGACCAATAGAAACAGGAAATGAAGTTTCGCCACATCCGGCATTGCCTGCGGCGCTTGCGCTCTGGGTTAAGGAGGCCGGTGACGTCCGGTGAAGTCCAAGATGGCGCTAGGTTGATCCTGCTGCAGGTGAGGGGCCCAGGGCTGGCGGGGGCGGAACCCAGCAGGTGTGTGCGGGGCTGCTTGGGGCTGCGGAGCACTGGCAGCCTTCACATTTATGCCCTCTGTCTTCTGCAGGTGACGGAAGTGCCGCCTACGCCTGCCTGACGTCCCTCGGGAGACCCTGCGCCTCTCCTCGCCTCCGCGGCCATGTCTGGACCCGGCAACAAACGCGCCGCCGGCGACGGGGGCTCAGGGCCCCCAGAGAAGAAGCTGAGCCGTGAAGAGAAGACCACAACCACGCTTATAGAGCCCATTCGTCTTGGGGGCATCTCTTCCACGGTTCGTGACTCCTGCCCCAGTGCTCACAACTTGCCAGACTCCCATCTCTGTTCTTAGTCCAAATCGTCCAGAACTTTACTCCCCGCTCCCCAAGCTTGGCAGGGTTCACTTTACAGAACACACTGTTGAAGGAAAAGGAGGACATGACGTCTGCCTTCTCTTTACAGATAGGGAAACAGGTTCCCAGAGGGCGTGTGACTTGTCAAAGACTTGAGAGTTAGAAAGAGGTTGAAGCAGAACTCACAACCACATGCTTTCTCTGTGGGTGTCTGAACCTCTTTAATTCCTGTGAGCGGTTAGTCTGGGGATCTTCACTTCTCCATTCTAGTTGCTCTCCTTTTTCTTTCTCAATGATTGGTTTCTTGGGTCCTGCTTGACCCAGTCCTTGGCCCCTCTGTTTTCCTTGGTAGGAGGAGATGGACCTGAAAGTTCTGCAGTTCAAGAACAAGAAACTAGCAGAGCGGTTGGAACAGCGGCAGGCTTGTGAAGATGAACTCCGAGAACGAATTGAGAAGCTGGAGAAGCGGCAGGCCACAGATGATGCCACACTCCTCATTGTCAATCGCTACTGGGCCCAGGTGGATGCCCCTCTGCTTTCCAAGACCTGGCCTAGATCCACCTGCCAACCCTCAGACTCCTCTGCTGGGAAAAGGAGTATCGTGCTGGGAAGCACCTGAGGGATTCATAACATTTTTGGTGCTTTCTCTCTTCAGCTGGATGAAACTGTGGAAGCCCTTCTCCGGCACCATGAGAGCCAGGGGGAGCTGTCTTCAGGGACTGAGGCGCCTGGGACCCAGGAGGGACTGACACGTGACGAGACCCCTGTCACAGAGCCGGGGACATCGGAGCTGAGGGGTAGGACCAGAACCCGAGGATCTGGGGAGCTTAATTAAGTTCTGGGAAAGGTCCTGGAGAGGAGGCAACTTTTATATCAGTCTTGAATTTCCTGCCAGCCTTCATGCGATTGTGTGCACGTGTGCGCACACACACACGTACATACGTACATACACACACACACAACACACATCTGATTTCATGTTTGGGTGGCAGAAGTGCAGAGGATAAGAACCCGGCCCTGGGCTTTAGTATCTGAGTGATTTGGTTTGTAGTACATGTCATGTTTGACACTTATTTATTTCAGAGCCATGTTCACACTGAGTACTGACACCATCTTGAAAGAGACAGAGATAGCCAGGAGGAAACATTTCCCCTGGCATCAGGGAGGAAGTGATTTTAAACCATTAGTAAAAGATACGGGGCCCTTGAGAGGGAATTAGTGTATGTGCACATGTATGTGGTTCTAATTTAGTTGGAGAAGGCTTCTCTGAAGAGTGATTTGGGAGTTTTGTGGCCTTGAGGAAATTACTTCATCTCCCAAAATAAAGTTGTTTCACTTTGATGATGAGGATACCAGCGTATCGCAGGCATTGCATGTGTTGATGCAGTGAGCCATAGAGTGGGGCTCAGTCTGGAACATGGTATGAAGTGGTGGTAATTGCTGCTGTTATCCTCATGAAGGTCTGTCCATCCCTCGCAGAGCCCCTGCCAGTGCAGCTGCGGCCCCCTCTCAGTGAGCCAGCCTTGGCTTTTGTGGTAGCACTGGGTGCCAGCAGTAGCGAGGAGGTGGAGCTGCAGCTGCAGGGCCGGATGGAGTTCTCCAAGGCGGCCGTGTCCCGTGTCGTAGAGGCCTCAGACCGCCTACAGCGCAGGGTGGAGGAACTCTGTCAGCGAGTATACAGCCGAGGTTAGTTCTTTCTTCCCCATCGCATAGGCATCTGTCCCCATTTGCATCTTGATTGTATCCCCGCAATGCCCCAAGCCCAGAGGCAGCCATAATTCTCCAAGAAATAAATCAGCCACATTCTCAGGGAAAGGAGTAGGTTGTAGATGGGGCTCTGGCTTCGATTCCTAGGGTTGAATTCTAGAGAGATGGGTGAGAGGAGTCGTTGATGCTTATGGGGCCACTGCTTTCCAGCTGGAGACCTCTTTGGGGCACTTGGCACAAATTTTGTGGCAGTTGCTGATCCACAAGGCATAGTAGCAAGTGCCCTGGCTTTGTAGGCCTCTCCCAGTCCTCGTCCTGTCATTCTAGCCTGGGCATGCCCAGTATATGGTTCTCTTCTCTGAGCTGGTTTCCTCCTTTGTACAGTGGGGATAAAGACTCCTGGCTTTGTCATGAGAAATTGGCAAGACAGCTGGTGGATCACACCGGGCAGTCACAGAATGAGTTAGTACTTTGCCCCATTGCCTTGGACTTCGCTCTTACCCGAGCCCTGCCTTCCCAGGGGACAGCGAGCCCCCCAGTGAGGTGGCTCGGGCGCGTACCCGGGAGCTGGGGCGTGAGAACCGGCGGCTGCAGGACTTGGCCACCCAGCTACAGGAGAAGCACCACCGCATCTCGTTGGAGGTGGGATTAAAACCGGGGCAGGGTTTGGGTTAGACGGGCACCCCGTTTCTCAGGGAGCCCAGTCCCCTGCGCTAAGCACCTATCCTCTCGTTGTCCCCCAGTACTCTGAGCTCCAGGATAAAGTGACCTCAGCAGAGACCAAGGTGCTAGAGATGGAGACGACGGTGGAGGACCTGCAGTGGGACATTGAGAAGCTGCGCAAGCGTGAGCAGAAGCTCAATAAGCACCTGGCAGAGGCCTTGGAGCAGGTGGGGCTAGGGTGCTGGGTCAGATGGAGTCAGGGCTAGGGACTTGGAGTCCTCGCTTCTCCCCTCCACTCCCATCTGTGTGTCTCTCCACAGCTCAATTCTGGCTACTATGTGTCCGGGAGCTCCTCGGGCTTCCAGGGGGGCCAGATCACACTCAGCATGCAGAAGGTGAGCAGCCGCCATTCTTGCCAGCCCTCCCATAACCTTTTATCTACCTTACCCCTGAATATCCCCTCAGAATTAAGGACAGACTACCCACATGGCCTCTGAGCCCCTTCCCTGCACTCGTGCTGCTCTGTCTCGTTCATTCGTGTATGTATTCATTAAATACTATGAACGCTAAGTGGTAGAGACTGTGCTCAGGAGGAGGCACGTCAGAGTACAAAATAGACAGAAATCAAAGTTTTTACGGAGGTTAGGTTCTGTTTGAGGAAGCAGATAGTAAGGTGGCGATAAGTGTCTCAAAGAAAAAGTGTAGAAAAGAGACGGATAGGAGTATGTTGGAGTTGATTGGCATTCTTAGCCAGGTGGCTGAAGAAAGGCCTCACTGAGAGGGCTCTCAGACTTCTTGGTCGATGCACACTTTGTAGTGCTGTGAGGGTCACTGTTTCCTGTGAAACTTTATTTCAGCTTCTTCAGGTGTTTCAGTAAGGCTTCCCTGACTCCCTGTCAGCTTTGGTTGCCAGCACTGACCGTGCAGTATTTTCTCCCACTTACCTGGGAGCCCCTAGGAAAGTGGTTGGGTTTGGCCTGTCCCTGGGGCTTCAGAATCCATTCTTGCCCCCATGTGGTGGGAATGGGAGGGCAGCATGCTGCCTGGCCTGGCCCTGCCTGCCACAGCCCCTCCCACTCCACAGTTTGAGATGCTGAACGCAGAGTTGGAGGAAAACCAGGAATTGGCCAACAGCCGGATGGCAGAGCTGGAGAAGCTACAGGCCGAGCTTCAGGGGGCTGTGCGGACCAATGAGCGCCTCAAGGTGGGTTGCATTTAGGCCTGGGAGGGCCTCAGCCTGCCAGGTAGTGGCTGGGCCCTGAATCCTCCTGCTGATCACTTCTGGGCATCTTGTGCCCAGGTGGCCCTGCGGAGCCTTCCTGAGGAGGTGGTGCGGGAAACAGGGGAGTACCGGATGCTGCAGGCCCAGTTCTCACTGCTCTACAATGAGTCTCTGCAAGTGAAGACCCAGCTCGATGAGGCTCGGGGGCTGCTGCTGGCTACCAAGAATTCCCACCTGAGACACATTGAGCATATGGAGGTATAGGCCTGGAACAGACCTTAGGGTCAAGGCATTTTGGCCTTTGGAGTTCCTGTGTGGTGCCAGGGATCCCTTGGGAATAAATTCTTTTCTGAGCCACTGAGGCCGGGAGGGGTGGGCGGGCAGGGGGGAGGTGGAAACCAGTGGTTTCCCAGGGGCTAAAGGGTTGTGTGGGTCCTTAACGCCTCACCCTACAGAGCGATGAGCTGGGGCTGCAGAAGAAGCTGCGCACAGAGGTTATCCAGCTGGAGGACACACTGGCCCAGGTACGCAAGGAGTACGAGATGCTGCGCATCGAGTTTGAACAGAACCTGGCGGCCAACGAGCAGGCGG